AATGTTATCCATAATTTGTTATGATCCACACAGTCAAATGCCTTTGCATAGTCAATAAAACACAGGTAAACATCTTTCTGGTATTCTCTGCTTTCAACCAGGATTCACCTGACATCAGCAATGATATCCCTGGTTCCACATCCTCTTCTGAATCCAGCTTGAATTTCTGGCAGTTCCCTGTTGACATACTGCTGCAGCCACTTTTGAATAATCTTCAGCAAAATTTTACTTGCGTGTGATATTAAAGATATTGTTCAATAATTTCCACATTCAGTTGGATCACCTTTCTTTGGAATAGGCATAAATATGGATGTCTTCCAGTCAGTTGGCCAGGTAGCTGTATTCCAAATTTCTTGGCATAGATGAGTGAGCACTTCCAGCGCTGCATCCATTTGTTGAAACATCTCAATTGATACTCGGTCACTTCCTGGAGCCTTGTGTTTCGCCAGTGCCTTCAGCGCAGCTTGGACTTCTTCCTTCAGTACCATCAGTTCCTGATCATATGCTACCTCCTGAAATGGCTGAACGTTGATCAATTCTTTTTGGCATAGTGACTCTGTGTATTCCTTCCATCTTCTTTTGATGCTTCCTGCGTCGTTTAATATTTTCCCTGTAGAACCTTCAATATTGCAATTTGAGGCTTGAATTTTTTCTTCAGTTCTTTCAGTTTGAGAAATGCCAAGTATGTTCTTCCCTTCTGGTTTTCTATCTACAGGTCTTTGCACATGTCATTATAATATTTTACTTTGTCTTCTCGAGCCACCCCTTGAAATCTTTTGTTTAGCTCATTTACTTCATCGTTTCTTCCTTTTGCTTTAGCTACTTGACATTCAAGAGCAAGTTTCAGAGTTTCTTCTGACATTCGTTTTGGTCTTTTCTTTCTTTCCTGTCTTTTTAATGACCTCTTGCTTTCTTTATGTATGATGTCCTTGATGTCATTCCACAACTCATCTGGTCTTCAGTCATTAGTGTTCAATGCGTCAAATCTATTTTTGAGATGGTCTCTAAATTCAGGCGTGAGATACTTAAGGTCATACTCTGGCTCTCGTGGACTTGTTCAAATTTTGTTCAGTTTCCACTTGAACCTGCATATGAGCAATTGATGGTCTCTTCTGCACTCGGTCCCTGGTCTTGTTCTGACTGAGAATATTGAGCTTTTCCATCGTCTCTTTCCACAGACGTAGTCAATTTGATTCCTATGTATTCTATCTGGCAAGGTCCACGTGTATAGTAGCCATTTATGTTGGTGCAAAAACATATTTGCTGGAGGAGTGAGTTTATTCCAAGGACTCCTTTAATGACATCATATCTTAAATTACTTAATCACTCTAACCTCAGTTTCCTCATCTACAAAATGGAGGTAGAATAGTACAATCCTCATAGGGTTATTGTGAGAATTAAATAAAATGCAGTATAATTCATGCAAATATCTTGGCATAGTACCTGGCACATTGCCAAGCACTTAATAAATGTTTATTATTATGTCACTACTCTTATCAAGACTCTATAAATGACTCCTTGTTTCCTACTGAATAAAATACAGGGCGCTTCAAGATTATCTAGTCATAAACTATCTTTCCAGCTTCATCCCCTCCAACACTCGTCCAGAGATTCTGCCCATTATTCACTTCCTGTTCCCCATCCCCAGATATCATCATTGCTCACTCCTTCAATTCCTTCAGGTCTGTGCTCAAGCATCACCTTTTCAGAGAGGCCTTTCCTGATTGCCCTCTATAAAATAACAGACACACTCACTCACTCACTTGTTGGCAACTTCCTAACCCTCTTCCCACTCTACTTTTTCTCCACAGCACTCCATAGAAATAGCTGTATAGATTTAGATATAATTACTGTCTGTGTCCTTATACTAGAAAGTAAGTTTCATGAAGGTAAAGATTCTGTTTTGTGCCCAGTTTTTTACCCCCAGCTCCTAGAATAGTATTTAGCACATAGTAGATGCTCAATTAACATTTGTTCTATGAATATTTACACAGCATTTCTTTGCTTGCTATGTTTATTCAACCTTAGAGGCCCGCTCCACATGTGCCACCTACCAAAATTCTATCCACTCTTCAAGGCCCAGCTCAAGTGCACTTCTTCTGTGAAACTTCCTAGTTCCCCCAAGGTAGCACTCATTGCTCTATCAACTATTACATGATTACAATTTGATTTAGCTCTCATTTCAATCTATCTTGTAATTTTTATTATCTTACTCTTTGCTTCTACCTCCAGACTGTAAGCTCCTTAAAGTCAAGGTCTATTCTCATTTTTTTACCATATATCATGCCACCTTCCCTGACTACCTGATACCCGTTGCCATCGAGTTGATTCCAACTCATAGCACCAAAGAAACCAAAGGAAAATATGTCAAAAATGAGGGACGTACTCAATATTTGTTGATCTATTTGAAAGAAAGGGCATTCCACAGTGAGAAAACAGAAGCAGATGCTAGGCTGTGTGAAAATGGGATAGCTGTTTTTAAAGCATATGTAAAGCTGCTGTACTTCAGAAGAGGGGTTAGAAGGATATGGGTAAATTGTTTCTATCAAATTCTATTAATATGATTACAGTTTGAATTTATAAGCTGATAAAATATTAGTAAAGTCTTTATTCTTTCACAAAACTGAACAAGCTGAAACCATTCTGGCAAAAAGCAGCAAAAAGTACCCCTAAGAAACAAAGGTGATTGGCTAGGTGACATCTTTTAGTTCCAATGTGGTTCTTTATGATGTCACTGAACTTATTCCTGAATCAGAATGGCTGATGTTACAATGATCATCAGCATAAATTTTGCTGACTAGCAAGATTATCTGAAATGCCTTGACTGAAGCACTATCTTAACTAAATTTCGGGGCACTTTTCTACTTTGTTTCTGACCAATTTTTTGGCCATTGATTTTTTTTTTCCAGTTGGGAAAGAAAAATGTCCATTCAAGGACAATCTCTGATTTTTCCTCTGTTGTTTATCTGCTTCTTCAGAGGGAGCTTCTGCATTTGTGATGGAACTATCTGGACAAAGGTTGGATGGGAGATTTTTCCCGAAGAAGTACACTATCTGAAAGTTAAGCCTTCTTCATCTCACTGCCTACCCTACCCTCTGAACAAATTATGCTGCAGTTTTGCTAACACAGATATATTTCAGAGTTGTCTGCATCTGTTTTACATTTTAGTTCAAGCTATCTTTTTAATCCTGTCTGTTTTATCTGTGCATTACCTGTGGATGAAATGGAAGAAACACCAAAAAAAGGTGAATTAGTGATGTAAATAGTAAAAGTTACAGAATCTAAAAAAACTTAAGACATAAGATTATCAGTTTCTTTAAGGGCAGGTACCATGTTGTCAAGGATTTCATTTTACTTGGACCTACAATCAACACCCATGGAAGCAGGAGTCAAGAAATTAAACAACATACTGCATTTGGCAAATCTGCTGCAAAAGACCTCTTTAAAGTGTTCAAAAGCACAGACGTCACCCTAAAGACTAAGGTGCACTTGACCCAAGCCATGGTATTTTCAATTGCGTTATATGCATGTGAGAGTAGAACGATGAATAAGGAAGACCA